ATGCAGAACCATCCCCTGCCAGTCCGCAAAGCCAAAAAGTTGAGAAACTCTGCTGTAGTGCTTATAATTTTTACAGGAACAGATTGCTGGCCCTGAATAAAATCTGATCCTCATCATCTATATCACTGAATCTTAAATTCCCATTTGCTTGCCTCTATAGTGATCCCGACAGCTATTTATGCCAGCGAAACGTGGAAGGCATCAGCAATATTAACAAGAGACTTGACATCTTCCAACAAAGATGCCTTCGCCAAATCCTAAATTTCACTATTTCGACCATATTACTAACAAAAAAGTGCCCCAAAAGAATGTCTCTTGTAAATTACGGTACATAAATTGTCACATGTAGAAGAGTCCAACTCACACATCATAATCTCTGCATGGAGAACAGTCAAATTCCCAAGATGGCAATGAATGGACTTCCCAAATGCCAAAGGACCACAAGGTTGCCCTTGAAATATATGGCGAAGTAAAATCATGGAAGACTTAAAGACTCTAAACATCACATGTGAAGAAGCTGAAGTACCCACTCAAAACCAAAATTGTTGGAGATCCCTTGCTGCCCGATATTCTACATGGCATGGGAGGATCTAATGCTAAAAAAATAATAATTCAGTGATGGATGACTATTATATAAACAAATACAGACCAATATATATCACCTTCAGCCATATATAGGTTCAGAAACTGGGTGTATATTAATCTGTCTAATATTAGGAATGTGTCATCTTCCCAATGTTGATATTTTCAATATAGTCGAATGTACCATGTGAACGATTAGACCATACTGATTTCCATACATAAATGGAAACTCTTAAATTTCCCTTTTATTAAAATCATGAAGCTATAACTCCTACAAATAAATATACAAAGTTCAGTAAATATTACACAATCATATTTGCATATGTATGTATGTATGAACATCACAGATGCCTCATTTATTTTACTGGAAATCATTTAAGAATGCCATTCCAGCAGATGGTTATGTCAAATTCTGCTACTAATAAGCAGTCTTTAATGACTTTCAATCACACAGTGATAACAGTTTAACAATAATGCATTATCTTTTCAAAACACAAAGAATAAACTCCTTGCAGATGCACACTTAATGCCTATTCCTTAGTGAGTGATAAATTCTTCTTAATATACTATGATTGTAACATTTCAAAAGCTTGCAAATAAATAAACTTTGCCAAGGTTAAAACAAAACAAAAAGGCAGCATGAAGAGACTGTAAAATCTCTGTACTCCTAAAACTCTCATGTTTGTAACCTTACGTTGGGTGAAACGATGCACCATAGGCCAACAGTTTTAATGATACTACCTCTTGCTCCTCTAACAGCTCTCTGAAATTCTTTCTTATATTCATTCTTGAGATATTTGTCATTTCTTTTCTTCTTTATATTTTCCAGTTTGAGCTGGCATCCAGTTTGTTTTCTTCTTTCCTTTGCTGTTTAGTAGTCTTTTTTCATATTCATCCTAAACAATTTTGATTTCATTTCACAGTTCTTTTTGTTCCTTTATTTATTTTTTATTTATTTATTTAATTTAATTTATATCCCGCCCTTCTCCCAACGGGACTCAGGGCGGCTCACAACATATTTAAAACAAAGGCATATATACCTATCAATGAGACTCAGGACTGAATCAGAAAGTGATACTGATAGAAGAGAATATTTGTAGCTCAGTGTTGAACTGTAAGGTCTTTGGTGCTCTCTTAATTAATTAACTCCTTAATTTTTTAACACATGGACAAAATCCACCATAGTTTCAACTGGAAACTGTGAGCATCCTAGATTAAGCCAACTCCAAAAACACCAAAGAATTCCTTGAGGCCTGGCATTCAGATAAAACAGCCATCAACAGACACATAGAAGTAAACAACATCTACATACCATGGAAAAAAGACAATCGAATGGTTGAAAAGGCCAAAACATCTCCTCACCAACAACACCCAAGTAAGCAGAGATTAACACTAGACCAATAATCAAGAAGCAAACAATATCCCAATCAAGCAACTACCAACAAAGACAAAAAGCTAACAACAAAAAAACCCTAATCAATGAGCCACCAAGAACATTCCCATTCATACTGACAGGGCAAGCCATTGGTATATAAAAATAAGAGTAAACCCTACCCCCTTCTAGCACTGATCATGTTATCTGGTTTGGTAATGAAATGTCTGCAAGAAAACCATCAAACTCTGAGAACACCAAGGACTCCTCAGAAAATGATTCCTGATATTGTCCTTGAAATTAGTCCATATATCCTTAAGATCATATTGCAAAAAAAATGGGTTGCTTTCTATTTTGGCTTGAGGTTAATTTGAAATCTGAACATGAACAGTCTGTGATCTGTTCCACAGTCAATCTGTACGGAGCTATTCAGAGAGGTCAGCGAAGATCTCAAAGAAGACATCCTGTAGCCAGTAGGAAAAAACAGATACTGAATATGTATTGAAGTCAAAGTGAAAAAGTATGAGAAAAGGACTGTCTTCCCCCGACTCCATGTGATATAAGAGGGTGGAGGAGAAACCATGGATAAGCTTGCAAGATTCTGCCACTATAGCCTCTTAATAAAATATAGTTCTTATCTTCCTGTGAAGCTAGTTTCCTGATTTGGTCTATGTTGCAGGGTTGACACAGCCTTTAGCCATGTCTTTGTTGTTTTGACTGAACTCTTCCACCTCATTCTAACAATATTAAAGTCAGTTTTATATCTATGTACTCTTGTCAGGTGGTGTATATGTATATGTATATTGTTTTTGTCACTGAAAGACTGTTTAGCAATGAGGTAATCATTGGATTAGAAAAAAATAAGTGATTACTTCATTTTGGTTCCCTAGACCAGAGTTGGAGCAATGTAAATTCCACAACTTCCCATGTACATTGTGATGTCCCATGCAGATATAATGTAAAAGTAGTAGAACTTGCATCGTAACACTGTTTCATTGTTTTAACAAAAGCAAGAGACTCTGCAGTTGCCTCTTATTTGGATAAAGGTTTGTAAACCCCACAGTCAGCCATTTTCTGAATGAGGTTAATTTAACTCTCTATGGCAGCGATGGCGAACCTTTTAGACACCGAGTGCCAAAAAACGCCACGCCCCTACTCGCTCTGCCCCCTGCCCCGCCCACCCACAGGGCCACCTACCGCTTCCACGACCTGCCGCAGATCGCCCAAGTGGCCTTGCAGCACCATGGCAGCCAAGCCCTCTACCCGCACCCCGCAGCATCATCTGCGACGGGGTGCGAGGGCGGAGTCTTGTCCCTGCTGCCCGTCTGCCATGTCCTTGGTCGCGCTGCTCCGTGTGGGCCACGCCCGGGGGTGACTCTCCTCTGGGGGGCTGCTGGTGAGGAGGGGGCCACAGGGGAAGGCGGGGTTGGGGCAACAGTGCGTGTGCCCACAGAGAGGGCTCTGAGTGCCGCCTCTGGCACCCGTGCCATAGGTTCGCCACCACTGCTCTATGGGATTAGTCTCTTTAGGTTAAAGCTAGTATTCTTGAAGAACCCAACTGAGGCCAATACCCCCCTGAAGTTTCTTTAAGATGCTTACCTTCCCTTACCTTCCCTTAAAGATATTTTGGGAACAGAGGTTATTTTCTTTGGTAGAGTGTTCCATGGAACATTATTTATAATGAATAATAATATTAGTAAAAGCATGTGAGCCATAGTGCTTTGTAGTGATTTTAACTTGTATGCAAGATTTTGGCAGACTTGAGACCCAGTTTTTCAGCTCTTTTCTAATATAAAAAAGCAGACAATGTAATGAGCCAAATTAATAGTATAAAATGTATGTATCTTTATGTACCTCTAATTCCTGAGGACTCCCTCATAATATAAATTGTGCTTTATGACAAAGGAAAAATGGTTTCCTTAGAAAGTAAGAAATGAACAGGATGTAGAAAGAAAGTCTTCCCCTTTATATGTATAGCATTCATAAGAAAATGTTGGAAACTGATTTATTTTTATAAATGCAAACATATATACTGTATTGGTGCTATAATTAAGGTGGGACTGGCTTGTACTCATTTTGTTCTTTAAATAAGACTAAGAACTAAATCTGTCTGTCTGTCTGTCTGTCTGTCTGTCTGTCTGTCTGTCTGTCTGTCTATCTATCTATCTATCTATCTATCTATCTATCTATCTATCTACTATTACCTAGCAATTACCCTCATAAAGTGGGCCATCAGAATATCTGTAAAACATCAAAGAATACTGTTATTTTTTGCTACAAAAGATTATCAATTAAAAATGCTCAAAGATAATACATGATAGATATAGACAGATAGATAGATAGATAGATAGATAGATAGATAGATAGATAGATGATAGACAGACAGACAGACAGACAGATAGATAATATGAATCTTTATTTGAGAATGAAAGTTTTTATTCGTTTTAAAATATTTCAAAATCTCTGAAAAATCAGCTGATAAGAGTAGATATAGCTGTTCAAGTTCTTTCAGTTAAGTTATACAAGTACAGCCTTGTACACACTTACCTGGGAACAAGGCCAACAAGAACCAATAAATGTTCTGAATGGACAAACACAAGAATACTACTGTATATTTCATACATATTGCAAAATAATAATTATCTTTTCAGATTCACTCAACTCTTATAATGCAACTTGTGTTCAATACAAAGTCAGATCTGTTTCAAATAATCTAAAATATCCAAATTCCATTTACTGTGGTGCAAACAATATTGCCATAAAATAAATATATGTAGCAGATTGTCCATAGCATAACAAAAAACAAACAAACCTTGAGCTAACATAATTAACCTCTTAACGCTGAATTAGTTGATCTTAAAAGGACTGCAAATCATGAACGTTTATGGAACAATATCAAATGCTGCAGTTGCATGCAGTGAAATATTTAGCAGAAGAAAATCCTAATGCTTTACAACTAAGAAGTCAGTAGTTTAGCATCCCAATTTAAAGGGAAATCTCTTTGGGATTCATTTGTAAATTAAACATAAGTAGATCAAAAGGAAACTTAACCCACATCACATTGGAATGGCTTCTCTCCTGTGTGTGTCCTCATGTGTTCATCCAGGCCACGTTTCTGACTGAAAGCCTTGTTGCACTCAGAACACTGATAAGGCTTTTCCTGTAACACAGGAAGAAGAGATGGAGTGGAGGTGAGCCAATGCAGAACACAAGCTGTTAACAGAGCAGAATTCCACACAGGATCATGTATCTTTATATCTCAGCTCCAAGAGACGTATGTCAGAACAAAGCTAGTTAAAATAATTCTTGAAAGATGAACTAAAAGTGGGTGGGAAAATTGTGGGCTGGCACCTTCTGCTTTAACATAGAGGTATTATTTTTCCCAGCCTTTTAGAAGCAGTGTTTTGAGAGGAAGGATCTGTGTCTGTTTTTCATAACCCCTGCTACAAACAACTAAATAACATGACATCTTTGGAAGCCTGATTTACAACATATTACATTTTGATCAAAGCCATTTTTAATCTTCTTAGCCATAAGACTAAGAATCACAAATACAATACCTTCCCCAAATACATATTTAAAAGGCAAATACCAGTGCTTGCACAGTGAAAAGGCATTGTGGAAAATCTTTCAGATTGCAGATATCCTTATGCAAATAATAATTGAAATATCATGGAGAAAAATCACTCCAAGATGTCTAATGCTGGTTTTAAATTTATCAAGTACACTATAAAAAGGCTATGGATACACAGAGCATCAAAATTATACCTCGTGATCTCCAACGAGTCTTGCAAGTGGAACTCTTTTGCATGGTCAGTTTTCCTGTGAAATGTTTATCCCCTTTTGTGCATTTAAAATATTTATTTTATTTTAAGGAACACAATAGGGCTCTTAATCAGGAAACCTGCCTTTTAAATATTCACATCAGTGAGTTCTTTTGTGTATAACTATGAATTGAAAAAAATATTCCATGTCAGCCCCCTGTAATTTTTACAGAAGTATAGGTCTCAGCATATGAAAAAAGGAATTCACAACACACCCTTAATTTGTTTTGTATTGTACTTTATGAAAACCACATTTTGTAAGCCCTCTGAAAATCCATTTTATTATGTACATGTAATGTTCAGTGGAAAGTTGAAAATAAATCAAAATGGTTCCATATCGGAAATATTGATAAATATAAATATTGTATAGGAAATCACAGCTATGTAATTATTGATCATTACAAATATTTAATTTAGGGATCTTGGGCTGTCATTCAAACATGGTGTTCGGTTTATTCTCAATAATGATTTACCAGGTTTTTATATGTCATAAGTGATTAATAAAGAAATAACATTTGTAGGAGAAAGTCCTTGAATAAAATAATGACTTCACTTCTATTAAACATTCATGTAGCCTGGGACAATGGAAAGAAAGCACTTATATTTCACTGGTTTTTGCCAGTCATTGACGTCACTGATCCTATGTTTACAATAATTAACTTGTCAGGGCTTGACGCTATGTGTGGTATTGACCCACTGGTAACTTGTGGAAGCAAAAAGAAATACTCCAACATTAAACACTTAGTGTAAAATTTCTGTGCTGCTGCACACAATTATTTATTTATTATTATTTATTGATCTTAGTAGCTCTCAATTTCTACCTTGTGTTTCAATAGAGCATTAGGTCCCAGTCATGATGTTCTTAAAAATGTTTGATCAAAAACCTCCAACTGATCTAGAGTCCAGATTGTCCATTTTCTTAACTATTCCTTGTTTTGTTATTGGTAGTTACTGATCTGTGAATAAACCAATTAGTCTCACAAAAATGACAAAGATTCATCTTAGGTAGCCAGCTGTGTCTAGTGATTAAGGCTCCAGGCTAAAAAGCAGGAGACTGTAAGGTCAAGTCCTGCCTCAGTCACAAAAGCTAGCTGGGTGATTTTGGGCCTATCACTCTCTCTCAGCCCAACCCACTTCACAGGGTGGTTGTTGTAGGGAAAATAGGAGGGGGAAAATGTATTGTTTGCCACCTTCAGGTATTTGTATCAATAATAAAGATGGGATAAAAAACAAATAAATTGTTAAATAGTGAGTTCTTGAAGGCATGGACCAGACCGATCTAATGCAACATGCTTTATTGCAAGAATAACAGAACTGAACTCAACCGACAGACTGACATAAATTTATACATGCCGCCACTAGGCGGAAACCAATCAGATTTAAAACTGGTTTACCCGCTCAAATATGAACTTCAGTTTCCCTCCAAAACAGTTGGAGACACATTTAAACCTAAACACATTAACGGTCAATAACAATAACAATACATAACATAAATCTTAGTTTCTTGTGGTCATACCTAGCACTGTGTTTAAATATGCAAACTAAATTCTGTTACCTTGAACCAATTATTGTCCCTTTGTGAGAAACAGAAACCATTTCATTATATAACCTATTGTGCAGAAACCATTTCATTGGAATAACCTTCTATTGTGCAAATAAAATAATAATGGGAAAATTTTTGCAAATAAAATATAAAATCAAAATGTGCATTATAAACCAATTCAAGATGTTTACAGCCCTTCATGGCATGAGACTAGGTTACTGGAGGAACCATCCTGTTCCAATGACATTGACCTGTTCCATTTGGTCAAGCAGTGAAGATAATTCAGCTGTCTAAGCACTAAGAAGAAAGCCTTCTCCACGATCCCCCATGCCCTATGGAACATCTTGCTCCCAAAGAGCATCAAAACATGGGGTCTAAGAGTGATATGCAACCCTAAGAGGGGTTGGTGACTTAAGAAGACTTCCTGTGCCTCTTTAAGTTTTTAATCTTTAAATTTCTCCCCTCTAATTTTAGGTTCTACTTCTGTTTTTAACTCTGTTTTGAATTTTTTTTTACATTGCCATATTTTTTTATTTGCATACCTCCCAGAGTCACTAAGCTGAGATAGACAGTGTATAAATTTGATAAATATATTGACAAGGACAACTACCCATAACCCAGCCTATTTTTATGTCTATTTTTATTTCATAAATGTAGTTATTATTTTACTTTGGAAGACTGCTACTTCTTTAATTTTATAGATATACCATAAACAAGTTGTCATTTACAAGCCCAGGAGCCTTCAATGCCTGTGAAATATTTTTCCTTAATTTTCCAAGTGACTGTTGATAATTAAATCATTTCCTCCCTTGTATTACTTTATCTTTTCATATTTATTTTGATTCCTTCAGTATCTTTCCCAACAAAATGACTTTAGTTGATTCCCAAAGTGCTCCTACAGCTTATATGTATCTTTGGTGTATATGTACAATAGCAGGGAACATATAACAACATTTTCATATTATGAATGTTCATTTTCCTGACAGAATCTCCTACTAATCATAGAAGTAGCACTGCTTATTTTTTATGTCCCTGCTTTTGTTTTTCTTCTGTGGAATAGTTTAAGAAAAACCAAACCTGTGCTTACTATGAGAAAGTTAATTTCTATTTTGCATAGTGTATAATCATTTCAAGGAATCATTACAAATTTTAATCTTCATGGGTTTACTTGTAAGTATCCCACATCAAAACTGTCCTGTATGGGGAAAATAAAGTTGACATGCTTATAACAAATGAACTGTTCCTGAAGGAAGAGGGAAAGCTGGATAAAGCAGTAGGCAGAACTGACTTTGAAGAATTAAGCTCTAGAATCAGAACATGATAGGATCATACCCCACTGCTCCTACTAATGCATTTGTAGGTTTTCTCTCTGAGCTAGATCTTCACTGCTCATCCTCATAGAACATGGATGCTGTTGGGTTGAAAGCAAAAGGCAGAGAAGTAGTCAAGTACCAAGTGGTAATGGTAAAGTGCTTTGCATAGCCAGTCAGCTTATGTAATATTGGTTTGAAACAGGCTAGTATCTGCAAACAACACTAAGGTGCTAACGCTAGGAACTTTCAGCTATGAAACTCCAGCAGAATACTCTTAGCACTGAAACAATTACTCTAATGCCCAGCATACAGTTACTATGACCTCGTACCACTTGCCAATTTGTGGATAAAACATATAAGGAACGGTTGCTGGAATTGGGTATGTCTAATTTAACGAAGAGAAGGATGAGGGGGGACATGATAGCAGTGTTCCAATATCTCAGGGGCTGCCACAAAGAAGAGGGAGTCAAGCTATTTTCCAAAGCGCCTGAAGGCAGGACAAGAAGCAACGGGTGGAAACTAACCAAAGAGAGAAGCAACCTAGAACTAAGGAGAAACTTCCTGACAGTTAAAACAATTAACCAGTGGAACAACCTGCCTCCAGAAGCGGTGAATGCTCCAACACTGGAAGTTTTTAAGAAGAAACTGGACAGCCATTTGTCCGAAACGGTATAGGGTTACCTGCCTGAGCAGGGGGTTGGACTAGATGACCTCCAAGGTCCCTTCCAACTTTATTATTATTATTATTATTATTATTATTATTATTATTATTATTATTATTATTATTATTATTATTATTATTATTATTATTATTATTATTATTATTATTATTATACAACATAATTGCAAAAAAATATCCCATGTTTAATCCTAGAATTTCAAATTAGGATTGCGGTATATTCTCAGGTATATTCATATTCATATTCAAAAACTAAAATCCAGATCACCGAGATTGAAGATTTTATTTAAAAATGTAGCTTTTGTCAGCGTCTGCTGACATCGTCAGAGTTCTAGCCAGGATTGAGAATCATGTTCTTATAGTCTCTGTAACGCCAAGCATTTGGCTAACGAGCGTGTTACCGGTCTATTCGGCTCCCCCCCGTGGTTAATTGCTCTGTTGTTTCTGTCACGCTCGTTGACAGCTGTTTGAATTTAGGCACCCTGCTCCTCTCCTCGCGCCCCGCCCATGTGGAGTGTATGTTCTGCCATGCGCAGTCATCTCGCTGCTTTTCTGGTGTTTGCATATGCGATGTTGCTGTTTCAGTTGGTTGTTTTTTCTTGCTGTCATATATATGATTTGCTGTAAGGGCTGCATTCTATTTCTATTTACCATCACATGGAAAGATGTCATTATGTATATCACATATGACTTTCTTTACAATATGAAGATTATATTATGAGGTCACTATTTTTCCCATTGTCAGTTAAAAAATGAGCTATAAAAATGATCAAAATATTTTATTTATTTTTATTTATTTATTGTTTATATTTATATCCCGCCCTTCTCCTTGCGGACTCAGGGCGGCTAACAACCAGATAAAAATACAAAATATCAAAACTACAGATTAAAACATAATTAAAAAACAAATATTCATAATTGGTCTAAGTGATTTAAAATTATGTTAAAACCCCCACTAAAAATATTCCCCTAGGCCAGTCCCGCAAGCTGGAATAACCATGTCTTAAGGGTGTGGCAATAAAAGATCCAGAAAAAATCCTAGTAAGAGACTGTTTTACTTTTAGCTGGAAGACTGGAAAGTCTAACGATTACTTTAGTAGATGGGAAAAAAGACTGAACTTTTAATCTGTAAAATTAGACTTCTAAATATATATCTGACAAACCCAAAGCATTTCTAAAAGCAGTCATTATAATCTACCTTTCAGTCAGAAGATATTGTAAAATGTTCTCTTTCTTGTCCATGGATTACTATTTAGCTATTAAACTAATACATTCTAGAGGACAAATTTAATCTAATATCATTTGTCTGGTGGCAGTGGGTGGTCTGATCATGTTGATTTCTTCTGTCCAGCAGGCAAAGCAACAGTTGGTTCATTAGAAAACAAAAGTCATGCTCTACATAACTTTGGCAATGGCTATGTGATAAATCACTGTGTGCTTCTTGACTCAGTATTGGAGAAGCATCATATCATCAGAAGCTCAATTACATTCTGTGTTTTAACTTGGATAGTGCAAAAAAAGAGTTTCCTGGGGGATGTGGCCATAATTCCTTTTTTAAGCTGCTCCAATTTTCAGCCAAGATCCAAATTCGATGTAGAAATGTAACCCATGGCAAATGATGCTAACAAGCACTATCCACCATAAAACATCCTGGTATTATTGGCACTATACATAGTAGAAAATAGTATATGTTGTAACTAAAGCCAAAAAAGGTATATTGCATGGTATGGGAGAAAGGAGAGTATATGCACCTGTGAATGGCTGTATGAATATGTGAATACATATGTAGTATGTTGTCTAGGATACCAGGCCAAATTGTTACTCATTTACAGTTTGCATATTGATATGAATTTCATGGCCTAAGTTGATACTTCTTGATGGTTTGTTTTATTTAAATTTTCTCATTTTAAAAGAGTATAGCAGTAGTAGTTTTTACAGAAATCAGTTTTGAAGACTGTTACCATGACAGAAAAAGGCCCATATTTAATCTGGATAATATTAGTTATTATAGCAGTTCTTGTAACTGAAATCAGCAGATGTTTTCCAGTCATTATTGTTGGCACAAGTTGTTTCAAGGAAAAATGAATCTCCCATTAACGGGGATTCATGGCTAGCACAACAAAGATATATAGCATAAGCAGAATGCGTTAAAGCCAGACATTTCTAAGCGATAATATTCAAACTTGAAATAGTAGATTTGAAAGGATGACAACTCTTGAAAGGATTTATAAACAAATTATACTGCTATCAGGAATTGGATTTATACAGCTGTTTTTTTTAAAAAAAACTTGTTTCTTTTTTAAAAGGACTCCCCTGAATCAACTGATTGACATTCCATAAGAAACCTCCCATCACCAATCAAGGCTACCACCATTACCACTCCATTCAGATGTGATGCAGACTACAGTAGTAGAAGGCAACTTCCCCTCTGAACTGTTGCACTGAGGAAGCCTTGTAGAGGCATATGATGAAACATATGCATAAAATGTAGGTATTAGTGCTTAGGTATTAATCTCCCAAAACCTAGAGGACCCAATAGTAAGTATTAGGGCTCTCTCTATTCCAAGAAATCCATAAAAATTATCTGCTTGTTCCTGCTTGGCCAAAGGGAAAAAAAATCCTTTCGTTTTCCCAATGATTGGGAAATAGAAACATAAACCAGTGAAAATATTGGGCAAAATAGATCACTTGTTCAGATGGAGGACCAAATTATATGTATACATGAACAAAGCGAAACACCTAATTGGTACATTTCATTTACAATACAAGCTCAACAATACAATATTACAGTCATTCTACATCCAGGATAACAAAACTGAATTAAAATATGCATACTGATATGCCAACAGTTTCATATTTACATAAAAAAAGGATCTCACATTTGCTCAACTGGACCAGTTTTATCAATTCATGTTTAGATGTTTCAGTTCTCAATCTGCCTAGAAACATCATTTTCTTTTTCTTTCCACCAGTTTTTTTTTTAAATTTGGCAGATCATAGCAAAATCATTAAGTCATCCTACTTACTCTTGTATGGGTACGGATGTGCATTTTTAATCCATCATTCTTGCTAAAAGCTTTGTCACAGTAGGGACATTGATAAGGGCGTTCACCTGAAAACAAGACCAGTAAAATCACTCTGTTAATATCTTATGGCATACCCAGGACTTTTCAGATGATTGCCCAAATAGGAAGTGATGAAGCCCTAAATTGCTTAGCTAGAGCATTATTGTTATATGTTTTCAAACCGTTACTTGGGTCTAATGTTGCCTGAAGAAAAAGAACATCAAAGTAGAACAGCATGTGTATTTTCCAAGAGACAGATCTTTCTGTGGGCCACTATTCACACAAAGAAGGTCTTGTTACCAGCAGACTGCCAAATGCATGGGAAAGATCCAGCTGACTGGCACTATTACACATGCACCTTGCATTTCATAACTACACCATACTGAAATGATTTTCATGGGAGAGCTTTTGTATTGCGGGAGACCAGAGACCGAAAAATCCCAAGCTTTAAAGAAACTATCCATGTAATCATAAGCAGCACTAAATGTGTTAAGTTGCCCAGAATTATGTTTGCTGCGATAGACTGATGCAGTTACTTCCCTGGAAAAATAAAACAAAATCAAAAAGACAACAATGCTGTCTTAACAAATTTGGAATAATCTACTCCCTATTCTAGCAACAACTTTACTGGTTTAAATTGTAGCTATTTTTTACACATGCTATTGCTTTTTGATATGCAATGTTTGCTGGGATGGTATATGGACTACCATAAAAAATATATAAAAGGATACACATATTTTAACTAAAAGCATGCTTATTTTTGGCGAACATTCAGTGCATTACTAATTCGTTTAATGAAAAATCATGCAAGAAACATAACTAATAAAAAAGTCATGCAACAATTAATAAGATGATATTCCTTCTCAGGCTAGCACTATTGTGTCAAAGATGGGAGTAGAATAGTTGGAAGAATGTGACAAATAAGACACAGTTCGCAATAGCTAAACTACTGATATGGTAGATGATGGTATTATGGAAAGGCCAGAATCTGAAGATAATGCTCTTGTAAAAGTAAAAAAAAATAACTAGTTCCAATATTTGTCTTCCCCAAAGTGTACAATATTTTAATAATGCTGATTTTAACCAACTTAAAACATCTGGTCTAAATATATTGCTCTGCTTAATATTACAAAATTTTTCTCCAACATCTAGCTCCCAACATCTTCCCAGCTACTTTCATTTTGAGAATGGTGCTGGCCATCTACTGTGCATCTTACTCATTCACCAAGGGATGAACTGGTAAAGCATCTTATAAATTCTATTTTAATTATTTTTAGTAGAAAGAATTAAGCAGCTTATAAATTTGATTTTTTCTTTATGTGTGTAATAACTGAACAATTGTTAAGCAAGTGAAAGTAACTATTATATGTTGGGTCCTGTGTATGTGGTAATGAGTGGGATGCATAAGTCAGAGACTGGAATGAGAGTGAATTACAGCCTACAAAGAAGAATGAACTATACGAACAAACAAACAAACAAACAAACAAACAAACAAACAAACAAACAAACAAGCAAACAAACAAACAAACACACCTCTAGATGGTGGGATCCAAAGAGTAATTTGTCTTAATAAATTAAGTTGGGCTGATGTGAAGATGTGTTTCATGCCAGAAGATCTATTGCAACTTCTGTTCAGGTATCAGTAAGGGTTTGGTTGACTCTGCAGTATAATGATGTAAAGATAGGAACAGATATTTTGGCCATTTGTCCAGTGCCAAATTAAATCAACTCAAATATTCTGGGAGTAGCAACATCTGTGAAGAGTTTTTGGCCACTATGCCACAAGCACAAGTTTTACCCAAGGGAGCTTATGTCAGTGTTTCTTCAAGTATGGTCTTAGGAACCCTGGAATCTCCCAAGGACTTCCCAGTGATCTGCAAAATCAAAACCATTTACCAGCCTATGTTGAAAAACAATATAGTATTAAAACCTATCAAACAATCATGAGGAGTAGTACGGTAGTGAATGTGTTAATTTTAATTTTTAATGTGGTAAATATCTATAAATATCCCATATAAGCAAAGGTGCAAATTAGTATCCTCTAGTATACTCTTGTCCAGCTCAAATGTGGCCCTGGACAGCTAGTAATGTGGTCCCACAATACAATAAAAATATAAATAAATAAAGGACATTTATTTATATGCATTAACTATACATATTTATATGTGCCTCAACATAATTCCTTTTCATTCAGTTTTCCCCAGGCAAGCCAAAATGTTAGACAACCATAGTTTAGAGCAGTGATGGCGAACCTTTTAGAGACCGAGTGCCCAAAAACTGCCCCATCCTTGTTCCACCCTCCCCACTCCACCCCCGCCCCCTGCTCCGTTCCTGCCCCGCCTGCCCACAGGGCCACCCACCGCCTCCATGGCCCTCTGTAGCAGATCGCCCAGGCAGCCCTGCAGCACCATGGCGGCCACACCCTCTGCCCACAGAGAGAGCTCCGAATGCTGCCTCTGGCACACCATAGGCTCGCCACCACTGGTCTAGAGTCTAACATGATAGTCAGCATTCTGTTTTCCTATCTCAAACCAGTTCGTAGCTACATATATTCAGGATATGCCATGCTTATGGACAGCCATTAAGTGTTCCCAAAATATATTGTGTGCTTCTGGCTGCACAGTTAAATATCATTGCAATTGATGCCCTTATATAATTTAATTACTTCAATCAATTATATCCATGTATCTCACTTAACTAAAATAAATCAACTGAATTCTACCACTACTGAGTGACATCTAAAAATTCTTTATTCAACTCTCCCAGATAAATGGAGTTAATCTTACTATATCAAAGCCACAGAAATGTAGATGACCATAAGATGAGAACAACATTTCGGAGTAATCAGTTATAAAAAAAAAACTTGTAATGAAATGATGGAATATTTGCATTGTACTAAGCTAAGGAATTATATAAAGAGAAATAGAGTTAAAAATAGAAGAGAGAAATTGAGGAGGAAGGTCATAAAAAGAAGGAAAGCTTATCCTTCTAAAGAGTAAATTATCACTTATAAATAAGCATAGACCTTTGTTGATGTATTTGTAATAGAAACAACTTGTCATATTGTCCATGAGATGTGATTGTTAATAAATGTTCTAACTGATTAAAAACAACTGGTTCTCTAAGTAAATAAGTTAGAATTTAATACTCCTTCTCCTGCCAGCCACCTAAAATGCTATGCTGTAAAGCAGGGGTGTCAAACTGCTGGCCCACGGGCCGGATGCATCATAACGAAACCGCGCCCACCCCATTGCCAGCAATGGCAAAAAAAATCGTGATACGTCACAACACATCACGTGACGTTGCGAGTTCTTTCCTGTAAAGGAAAGAACTAATTAGAGAGAAAACAATTACAAAATGGAAGCAGTAAGATTTTAAATTGTATCTGTTTATCTCCAAAATAAATTTACAGTATAAGAAATGATTTTATCTGTGGCCAAATAAAACAAGGTTTGTAACAGTCTCTACCATAAAAAGAAGAAAGTAAAAAATATCATTTCGCCAAAATTCACATTATACAGAGGTAAAGAAGATCTCAGGGCCTGAAATTCTTTGACCTCTAGAATTCCTCTGTAAGTTCTTACCCAAGAAAAATTATTAAATGTATGAGAGGATAATTATGCTAAATATTTTTAATTACTTTAAATAATAGCAAATTTAGGGTTCTTTTTCTGGTAAGTTGAAGGCATATAACTCCTAACACATATTCCATTCAGATTTTGAGCTAAAAAAAAGAGTTGCTCTCCTAATCTAATATGTTATACAGTAAAGCATTTAATTCACTCAGAAGTGACAGATGGGGCATAAGCTTCACAGAAAATGGAGGGGCGTGGTGGCGCAGTACTACAGTCTAACTAGTATTGAACTACAGCCAGTAGTTTGATCCTGACCAGGTGAAGGTTGACTCAGCCTTCCATCCTTCCAAGGTGGGTAAAATGAGGATCCAGATTGTTGAAGGCAATATGCTGACTCTGTAAACTGCTTAGAGAGGGCTATAAAGCACTATGAAGTGGTATTGCTATTACTATTTTGTAAAATGACTTGAAGAACTCTGCCCTAATCCCATTCTTTCTTCTCAGATGTTTTACTTTGTTTTTCTTCAAGATAGCTTCACACGAGTATATCAAGTCAGGAATAATATGGCCACATATAGGGTAAGACAAAACAATATAAAATTACAATTAACCAATAAAGTAAGAGCCTACACTAAGGTTAGCAAAGGAAATATTTTCTCTTAAGTCCCTAAATGAATTCAGTTACCAGTTTCATGTTGGTTCTATTCAGCACTTTAGTTTCAAGGGAGTTACTTTGGCGTATACACTGCCTGTTGGTAACACCTTCGCCAAAGCAGAAAATTTGTCCAAAATTCTAAGTCCAAGTTTCAGTACAGCTACTTTACAGAGTTACTGACTCCGAGCATGCTTCCCCTCGTTTTCTTCACATTCAAACTGCTACAGGGGCCTGTTCTATTTCTCACTTGGAAAAAAGGTGTCTTGTTATCTTGTTAACTCTTCTGACAATGGTATTCGTCTGGATTATTTGACAATGTTTCAGCAGTTTATCAAATTTCCTGCTTATGTTTCCATTCCTCCTTCTCCTTTTCCTCCTCCTTCTCTGTCAATAGACTTTGACCTATCATCTTGGGCTTTATCATCTATAGATTGAAATACAGAAAGCGACAAGACTTCATGCTGACATGTTTATTTCGTTTAAGTATTCTTTGCATACCCATTTTCTTTAGTACTTCTCTAGGGGTTCTTAAAAGTCAAATGTTCAGGTTATGTGTCAAACATCTTTCTGAGGAAGATGGCATTAAAACCATTTTACTATATAATTTACATACAGTATATTTGTTACATCAGTTACTTATTATGTACCTAGACATAAATATATTGTAAACATGCTATATGGAGCTTCTCAGAAACATTTTAATACTTTGGGAATAGAACAAACAGGATGGAGGAGGGAGGGCATACTGCAGTATTCTTTGCCAAATGAATTGTTTCTTTCTTTCCTTGCACTGATTTAACTCATTAACTCTAAATGT